CCTGCTGGGTCAATGGATGTTCTAATCGTGCCGGAGGTTCAGTTAAACTTGGATTTTACAGTATACCCATCATTAGACTTCATGAATGTGAGAAGACTAAGCTTTTGTCAGAACAACCACGGAGGTTATGGCTTGCGAAGATAAACAGGCAAGAAACTCCCTCAAAACACGCGAGAATATGCTCGGAGCACTTTGTGTCAGGTGCGTATCGTATCTTATAATGTGTTGACAGACGTAATTTACTCAGTACTAACTTGTGTATGCTGATATCTGGTAACTTGAGAGTTTCATTATTTAGCGTTAGATTACTTTATTATGAGGAGGATCGGTGTCGCGTCCGAGGCTCTCGAGGGCAACGTAAATGTATTAAATAGATAATAATAGTTCTATGGTGGGCTAAAACAATGTTCACAAACAGCATTGCTTCTGTAAAAAGATCTGTGTCATAAAATAAACTGCTCTTTACGCCTGGAAAAATCAGTTGCCCACCATTCACCAAAACATACGGTCAAAAACGCGGAAATAAACAATAACAGCAATCCAGAGTGTCCGTGTGGCATTAGCATTAATTAAATTAATTGTTAATATAATTAAAATAATTAAATGGAGCTCCAACTGGTATTAAATCTAAAGTTTTTGAGAAATGTTTGCATTGCTTGTTAATTTTTGCTGCATAATTTGATCAAATATGTAAAACATGTCCGTAGCACGTTAAACTGTGGTGCCATTGTATTAATATACAATTATTTGCTCAAAAGTTGCCCTTTTTTCCAATTTGCGTTTGAATATCTACATTTATTCTCATTCTTCTGTTTAATGGAATGCACAAACACAGCAGCGTGCCATCAAAGATGGCGTCTCCGAGGAGGTCATGTGACATTCATTGGTCTGTGGGAACTATGTATTTTAAGACTTCGAATACCTTCGCAAAGACTGTGAAAGAAAAGGCCATTAAGAACATTCAGCTCTAGCATACTTCAGCCTGTGACGTGATGGATATGAACAGACAGTGATGCAGGTGAACTGAGCCAAAAAGCAGATGTATTTACTGTATTTGTACAATTGCATGAAGGCAAAAAAAAATGGAAGTTAAACTTAAAGCAGAGTTGTCACGTGGTGCGTCATTCTCTCCAGGACACGCTGTAATGAAAATACACATTTGATAACCATGAATGGTTTTTATGTGTTTGTAGCCTTTACTTTGTCATTTAGATAATAGTCTAATATAGCTAATATAGCTAATGTAGCTAAGGTAGCTAATGTAGCTAATACAGCTTCAGCCCCTGTTACCTTCATATAAGCCTTATACAACGCTGTTTTATTTTTTTTTTGTCAAATATGGCTCCATGAAACTTTTGAGTTGCCTGGGCCGCTAAAAAGGAAAAAATGCCCGGGCCGTTTTTTTGTCCCAGTCCAGCCCTGCCTGGGGGTCACGAGTGATATCCCACTAGCGAAGTCCTAAGGGACTACGCACCTATTCGTAGAACTTAAGTTACATTAAGTAACTATTAATTCTTCTCTTTGTACAACGCGGTTATTTACACACAGATTGTTCTGTTACAGATACAAATGTCAAATTACACACACACAAATCTGTTTACGCACGCACACAGTCCAAGTTACACTTGCGAATCTGCGAAGGCAGGACTGCGTCAAAAGATTCGTGTGTAAAAAAAAAACTTGTGTGTAAAACGTACTTTTTTTTTTCTTTACACACACACAAATCTTTCTACGCACACACAAATCTTTTTACGCACACACAAATCTTGATACGTACATACAAATCTATTTACACACGCACAAATATTTCTTTTACACACACACAAATCTGGTTACGCACGCACAAATCTGGTTACGCACACACAAATCTGGTTACGCACGCACAAATCTGGTTACGCACGCACAAATCTTTTTACGCACACACAAATATTATTGAAACAATAATAGCTCCATACATGACAAGTGCTCTGCCGGGGTTTCATGCATGTGGAAGTGTGGGTTTGGAGGATTGTTACATGTAAATTAGGAAACAGTATTTTTATTTTTACTTTTCATGTGATTTGAGAGTTTTCCATATCAGTGTGTGTCGAACGCTTGTTTGATATCAGTGTGCGATATCTCCAGATCTCAGAGACATCAGAGACATTAAAGAGTAACTAAACACCAAATCAACTTTTTTTTTACTTATACACTGCCTAAATATGTTTCCTATAGTGCTCCCTATATTTTTGACATTTTAATCCAAATTAGTTAAAATCTCACTTTTGAGCCTAAACCGTCTGTGTGGCGCCCTCTCTATGGTTTTCCGTGTCACTACATTTGAATTTCGTTCCTGGACTCTCCATTGGCTCTTGAGTTCCCTAGTTTTCTGTGACGCAGGTCTTCCTGAGCCTCTGCTATAAAGGCCGCGGGTCTCTGACACGCCCCCGTAGCGAGTTGGAGTTGGAATTGTGAGCGAGCATTTTACATCGATTTTCAGGTTAGCAATTTATTAGCTTAGTATTGAGTTAATTCTTTAGCGTAGCGTTTCTAGTGTAGCCACAGGTAGTCAGGTAGTTTAGTTGCGTGAGTATAGTTTAATTTAGTCATTGTGTGTTACTTGTAACGTAGGGCTTTGTATAGGCTAGGTGTTGTTGTCCGTGTTTGTGTATTAGTATTTGTGTTAGTTGTCTTGTTTGTTAGGATGGGGAGAAAGTGTAGTGTGGTGGGCTGTCAAAGTACTGTAGGATTACATTACTTTCCACAGGACTTAGACTTTTGGCGCCAATGGTACCGCGTAATTGGCCTGGGGGAGAGCTGCGAACTCCCGCCTCATGCTGGAGTTTGCAACCACCATTTTGCGCGTGATTCCTTCGCCAACTTGATTCAGTTTGAGCTGGGGTTCACCACAAAGCTCCGTCTGAAGAGCGAGGCTGTTCCCACTCTTGGTCTTCCACGAGCGAGGAAGGAGCTCCCGACGTTGCTGCCCAGCCACGGAGACTTTGGGCGCCACTCTGAGGTGAGTGGGCAAAAACAATGAGTAATAATAATAATAATAATGTTGTGTCTGTTTTGGAGACATTTGGTGACGGACTGTAGACTTGTGACCGAGAGGAAACTGTGCAGGTCCGCGGTAGTTAGCGCGGTATATTACCTTACATGGTTTTGTTGTCCGGTGTGTTAGCGAAGGGGCTAGCTTTTGTAACGAGTTTATGCTGTAACAACGCGATCTCCAGGACATGACTGTCACTAGCGTTAGTTTTTATCTTCCTCACGTCCACGTAGGTGTGCTAATGTAAGGGGATTTATACGGATGTTTTGTTTTGTTATGCCCTATTATTACCTGGCTAGGACATTTTTATAGCGCACGTGACCTCATCTCCGTCGTATCAATAAGCACTCACAATAGGTCCTAGCCAGGTAACATATTACCCCAATACTCCACATGTCATGTACCATAATATTTAGCAGAAAGCCTGTTTAATAGATGTACAATAGACGTGGGTCTTGGCGCACAAGCTTCAAGGTAGTTCTGGGATCATAAACTACTCTGATCAAAGCTACAAAGAAACATCCACACTGTAGAAATTAGTCTTACTATACCACTATACAAATAAGTCTTTCCTCCCTTACTACTATTACTTATTGCTAATATTATTACTTATGTTTTCAGCCTAAAGCAACCAGAGAAATGGCCTGTCAGACGGATCCAATCATCAGCAGGCACGCAAGCTGTGTCCAGGCCAATGTTAAGCCCAGCAGGCGCAGCAAAGGTTATTTGTCTTTTATAACAGTCTGTATTATTCACTTGTACAAGAGTTTAATTTTACTTTGGATTCGCTGTTAGATGCTACTGTAACCATTTATTAGTGCTATTAATAATGTGTTTATCTGTGTTATTTTAAACAGGCTTGCAGGTGCAGGCTCCACATAAGAGCGTCAGCGTATCCTGTGATACAGGGGCCTTCATGGGAATCCCACTTCCTGAAAGTCCCCAAGCAGCCTCTACACCCTTGAAAAGAAAAAGGTGTGAGGTCCCTGCATCTGACCCCAGCTTCCATCTGAACGACAGTGCTCTGAACTGTTCAAGGTAAAAATGTATGGGGGAAAAGAATGCTTGTGTATTATTTAAAAATATACCTTGGAAAATATTGTATTCTCTTAAATGGTTACATTTGCCTCTTCCTACATAATAGCGCTATACGGAAGTCCCTCCACTTACAACATCTCCAAACTGTTGTTTTAAGCAAAGGTTATGTTAGTTCAGTTATGTTTAGATCAAATGTTATTGATCTCCCAATGTAGACATTTACATAACAATATTAGTAATCATGTTGAAGCTTAACACATCATAAATCATAAGCAGCAGAAAGACAACAGACAGTTATTTTCTCCTGATAAAAAAGAAAAGATAAATAAAAACATGTAACAGAGCAACTTTATTGAGGTGGATATGTCACCCGGTTTTCTGTCCAGCCAAGCCCACATTTTGAAATTTGTTTAAAAGGGCTCTGGCCTGGTAAGGCAGGCAACTAACCTGCATGTACAGTACTTCATGTTAAATTAGAGCAACAACAAGTATAGATCAGACTTAATAAGTCAGCTTACAGGGCCTGGTGTAATTTTAACACAGATAAAACAATCAATTACATTTTAATCATGTATCACTGATTAAAATGCAAACAGCCACATTTGCAAGAGGAAAACATGGGTTGAATTGATTAAAACCTTGCTATTTGTTAATTTGCCACATGGTGGCACTGGTGCATCATTGTTAATCTTATCTGCCTGTATCATTCGAAATAGAAGAAGATAGGAAGAATACTCAGAATCTTTTTGAAAAATCAATTGGTTGAAGGTCTGTCACATTAAGTTTATACTGTCACTGTCTGGAATTCTGTTCTCTGCACTGTAGGGCAACTTGTCCAGAGAAGTCATAGAGGTTCATTGTGAATAATAAAGGTTATTGCCGTAACAGAGGTTTTAGGGATGCTTTTATTTGAGTGTTGTTAAACACAGGTCTAGTTCTCTTTGGAATCCTCGGCATATTGTGTGCCAGAGTAGAAAGACATATTGGGAAGGTCGTGTAGGATGCAGCAGCTCAGAGCAGAGCGAGACACCTCCATGTCTTTGACTATGGACCACACACCGGTCCCAAAGTTGAAACTTTCCACACAGGCTGTGGTAGTGAAGCCGTTAAAGCCTCCAACCACATAGAGCTCGTCTTCCAGCACAGCCATTCCAAAGTTACTACGTGACTCAATCATGGAGGGCAGGGAGCGCCAGTGCTGGATCTCTGGGTCATAGACCTCCAGCGTGTTCAGGCGGGTCACCCCATCGAAACCACCAGCCTGCAAGAAAGGGGTAATTTTTCAATTAGTAAAAATAAACATGTCTAGGCAGTGCTGTGTCTTTATTTGTGATATCAAAGAGCCACTGGTGAGGAAAACTAACATTATACCTGTTGGTTTATCATACACTTTCAATCCATTAAGAAGGACCCAAGAGTAGGAGGATTGTGATGATTAAGATTGGCCCAAATTGAATTCACATTTGAGTTTCAAATGAACCAATTAGTGAAAAAATGCTTTATAAACCACACACTCTTCCAGTAGTCCAAATATAAGTAATTTCGATGTCCACAAATGAAGTATTGTTTGCCATAATTAGTTTACTAAAGTGTGAACGCACTCCAATTACTGGACTTTAATATTGTCCTTGAAATAAATGCTTTTCTTTTCTTTTAATCTTATGGTCTTTAAATGTACCTTCTCGTTCTACATGTTCTGTCTTTTTACAGTGAGAATCTTTGAGTAGAGACATCAGAAGTCTGAGTTCAGCTGATGAAATCTTTCCATCAGGTTATGGGTTCATTTTTGAGTTAAGGTGCAGTGGCTAAACTCTGAGCATCTTCCATACAACTGAGTCCCCGACTTTATCCCCTGCTGCACTATGCTGCAGATCAAACTCATTTGGACCATTTGGATCCGGAATGTTGTCCTTTCCATCATTACTCAAAGCTTATGAGGGATTGACTGGTAAAGTTAATCCCTGAAATGCTGACTTGATCTGAATGTAAATCTCAAACTTTCCCTCTTTCAAGAAGAGTCCAAAAACAAAAGTGTTCTAGAACCTCCCTACCCACTGTTTGCTCACAAATACATCAAGAATTATGCTAGAAATAAATTAATCTTGAAGCGTCATAGTCCATATACTCACAACAATGATCCTGCCTGCATGTGCAATGGCGCTGACTCCACTGCGAGGGCAACTCAATTGAGGGATCACACTCCACTGGTCGTACTGAGGGTTGTAACTCTCAGCTGTGAACAAACACTGAACTCCATTGAAGCCTCCAAAAATATATATCTTCAAATAGAAAGAAGGCAAACATATAGTTAGTGAACATTGAGATATGTAACTGTCCAACTGTTACAACTGATAGATATAAACACATTGAGTTAAAAAATAATGTTCATCTTTTATATTTTAAAACGTCTTCATAAGTGTACCTGTCCATTTAGGCTGGCAGCACTCGCGTCACTCCTCTGCTCATGCATAGAGGCGATCCTTGTCCACTGGTTGAACTCGGGAGTGTATTGTTCAGCCGTTTCCAGCCTGTCAAGGCCGTCATAGCCTCCCATGGTGTAGATCAACCCATCTAGTAAAGCCACGCTCACATAACACCGGCTTGTGTGCATGGGGGCGACTTCATTCCAGGTTTGAGTGGCCAGGTTGTACTTGTGCATGGTGCAAAAATTCTCTATGCCATCAAACCCTCCAATCACATAGAGGCACCCGTTGAGGAAGACCGTCCCATGATAAGCGCGGGGCCCGTCAGAACTGTCCATTGGGACCCAGCGTTTGGAGCGGCTGTTGTAGATTTCAATGGCACTTGTGGGGTCTCTGATGTGCCAGCCACCGATTGCCATTATAACAGCCTGTGGCACCCTGGGGCATGTCAGCTTGTAGTTGGAGTTGGAAGACCTGGTGAGTGAGCCCTGGTGCGTATCCAGCATCTGCTTCGTGGATTGGATGAGGTAGTTTTTGCATTGTTGATTTTGCCTGATGAGCTCATTCCCAATGACATGGTTGATATAATACTGAAAGTCCAGGAAAGCCAGACGGATCTAAAGAAAATCACATTCCCATCACAATTGTTTTGATTAACAGTTTGCATGCCAGGAACAATCAAACAAAAGTTTGCATTAATTCACCATTCTGAATAGTGAAAAAAGGGGGTTGGAAATAAATAAGCACCTGCTTCATCCAACCCGTATTAGGATAAGGATATGTCAAATTGTGTTCTGCACTAACTAAATACTAATTCACCTTCACATTAAACTCACATGGTAATAAACAAATTGATAAATAATCACATTGTTGATTCTGTGTAGTAGGAATATGTCTTTTGAAGCACAAAGATGCATACAAAAAGGTGACTTACTTTCGACAGGAGGTCTCGGATGTGCACCTGTCTATCCTGCGGTGAGTGGTTGATCCAGCACAGGACGGCTTCAAACGCTGTGCTCTCCTGTTTCACGTTCAGGAATTCACTCTCGATGATCATCTTCAGTTCTGCTGCCGAGAGCTGGAGAAAGCTGGTACAAGCCACCACCTCCTCGAAATGTCTCAGGATGTAGGAGAACGCTTTTTGTCTCAATGCAGGATAGTAGTACTTTTCAGTTATCCTCCAGGTGTAGACGCAGGTTTGGGGACTTAGGGACCTCTCCATTTCATCGCAGCAAGCCTGGGCCAGACCCTCCACACTGAAGCGATCAGCAGCAATGAACAAGTCCGTGATGTTCTCTTTGGTGATGGAGACGGCCCCCGTATAGGCAAACTCAATGAACGCTAGCATTGAGTCCGCTGAGACATCTGGGATATCAAAAATGTTGTTGTCTGGAGTGGACCAGGTGGTGAATAAAGATCTGAGGATGGACAGATGAGAAATGTGACCCAAAAATACATTAGTCCAATGTAGGGTTTTTACAAAGGCTCAAAGTCACACACTGTAAATTCTAATAGGCCATTTGCCTTAAAGACTCATTGTGTCTGCTTTAAGAATCTATATTTCAAACAAGTACATTGAAGAGATTGAACTAGTACAGATTAATTACCTCCCTTTGATAGATACAAAATAAGTGTACCACCAAATGTGAAAATAGATTCCAATTTGACTCAATATTTAGTAATAAAGTAAAGGTGCATTATTCAACTTTTGTGTGTGAAAAAGTTACAATCTTTTGGTATATGTCCTTGTAGTGACCCAGTGGCAGTAGGAGTGGGCAGCTTGAGTGGGCAACTTTTGAATGCAATGCTCCAGGATCATTGTTTTGTCGGTTTTCTGGTGCAGGGTTTGTCAGCAGAGAAAAAATAATCCTATGGCATCCTAGAGACCACTGTGATAGTAAGTAAAAGTGCCATGTTTACTACTCATACTACTCATCGAGGCGGCACGGTGGCTGAGTGGATAGCACTCTCGCCTCTCAGCAAGAAGGTCCTGGGTTCGAAATCCCGGTCGGACCAGGGCCTTTCTGAGTGGAGTTTGCATGTTCTCCCCGTGTCTGCGTAGGTTTCCCCTACCACTAAAAATATGTCCAATAGTTCTGGCATGTGCCTCCTGTACTGGTGACCCCGCTCCCATCTCTGTGTGGAGTGAGAGACAAATGCCCAAAATTAACAATTGTAAACCGCTTTGAGACTCAGATCTGCAGTGAAAAGGCGGTATATAAATAAAGATTAGTTACTACTACTACTTACTACTACTCATACAGCCACTGCGTCATTACAAGGTCATATACCCAAAAAAATATGCCCAAAATTATTTCTCAAAACCCACCTGTTTCAGCTTGCATTTCCTTAATTTTTGCTCTTCTATGTTTATTTTATGTTTTGTACAGCGTCTTTGAGTGTCGCTATATAAGTTCGATGCATTATTATAATCATTATTAATATAAACAAATTCTCATGTTACATAGATCAAGTTGCATAATTTCCCTTTAAGGTCAAGACCACAATCCATTTCTAATAAATGTATCGTTCAATTCTACCAAGATATAATAATAAATAACAGTAAGAAAAGCTGTGGTTGCTAAATGATATAAAGAAAGATATTGATATAAAGATATTGACTTACTATTATTCCCTGTCATCACAAAGTTTTTTGAGAAGCCAGGTATATTTTAATATCATACAAACAAAGTTTCACCCTTTCGTGAGCAAATTCTTTCAAAAGTACTGCCAAAAACAAAACAAGTTGAAGACTTGCAGCAAGAGAAACACACATTTTTGGCACTTGTTAAACGGAGATATCTGTTTTTAGACACAATACTTAAAATATACACGGCTTTTGGCATTTTTCATCACTAATCTAAATCAAACAAGAAGTTAAACCACATTGGCACTCACTTGAAGAACGGGCTGATGCTGCACATGACCGGCTTGTGCACATGAAACTGCGAGTCCTGGACCCGGATCACAGCGTCACAGAGAGACTGCTCGCGACGCAGCTCGTCCATCAGCGCTAACAAGTTTGACATCTTGGATCTTTGGTTTTCTGTTAAGTTTTCCGTGACAGAGATGCATAAAACTCGACTGTCCTGGTGCAGTGGTTGTGTGGAAGTGAGGGCTGTGTCAAAGTGAAGGGTTTTCAAAGATGTAGAATAGAACCTAACAGCATTCTATGGACTGTTTCCATAGAGATAAGGTTCTGACAATGACATCGTTCCCATTACATCATGTATTGATTTAAATGCATATATCCTGTGTATGGATACATTTAATACAAAATATACTTTAAAAAGTTAATAATATATAGATCAGTTACAACCAATTGCCTATACAGTAAAATTAAAGATAACATGAGTTTGCTGATACAATATAGGCATAAGCAGGCATGTTGGAAATGTTGTTTTTTGTTTTGTTTTAAATCTGTTCAATTTGATTATCAAGAAGTGATCATTTAATATATGTATATATATATATTTATTTTTTAATTAAATGTTTACTTTTGTGTACTTTTATAGGCTTCCAAATAAGACAATATTTCCAAAATCATTGTTTCTCTGAGATGTTGTAGTCATATTACCTTTGATTAATACTTAAACCTGAACTTCTATAAACCTCATTTCTGTTGGACTCAATGACTGTTTCTGACTTTTGTTATCAAGACTTGTTAAGTTTGGTTATTTGCTCATAATAATGATTGAGAGGTTGTAAGTATTAATATAGCGTATTTGAAACTAAAACTTAGAATAAATATATAACTATCTCTGCTCACAATTGAATTGGTTTTGTTGTCTTTCAAGATTGTTACCACATTGACTGTGAATAAGCAAACTATTCAAGAATCTTTTTGTTTTTCTCACAATACTTGTAGTAACAGGAGACCTGAAAGATCGATTTGTGGGAAACAACAATATGTCATTACACATTTAAACAGTAAACACACATGTGTCACTGACTTAATTTTCCTGTTATCAGTGCTTTGAGATGGTCCAATTAACAATTAACTGTATGTGTGTGTGTGTGTGTGTGTGTGTGTTTGGATGCTATCAGGATTTAAGATGTAAATGTCTCTTTTATCTTTTTTGACTCCCCTGGTCCCTTGCTGAGTCGAAACTATTTAAACAGGCTGTTTAAAAGCACAGGAGTGAGCCCGAGCTCTCCTGGTACAACCTGGTATAATGCATCTCTCCTTTTGGCTAATGTGTGTTGTACAGTTGTAACGAGGGGGGGGATATAAAGGTGTTTGAAAGCGGAATGAAATTTGACCGCAAAAATAACTATTGCAAAAAAAGAGATTGAGTGACCGGGTGAGAGCACACTTGTCTACCAAGGAGAACAAAAAGGTCGTGGCAAGTTATTAAAATTTAATACAAGGAATAATTAAAACAGTAAAAAAAAATGCCCACAAATAAAAACACTGTTAAAAGTCCATTAAAAACAAGGTGGGCTAAAAACAGGTTAAAACTACTAAAAGCCACGGTCAGGTGCAGGCAGGTCCCACTCCCTCCTGGTCCAGGGCAGCACTCCAACCTGGGTCACACGCACCGGGCCACCTAGGATGCAAAACATACGCCAGTACGGGGGTCCGAAACTATAAGGCCTTAGGCTACGATGGTGGAGTGTCGCTACAATACTTACACACAAGGCAGAGTTATCCTCTGCCCCTGCGTGTGTTCAGCGTCACAACACTCCTTCACTTAGTCTCGACTCCTCCCGTCTGGCTCTCGTCCTCCGCACGCTGAGACACCTACGCGGAAATCACTAGCGGCAGTCAAATGTTCTAAACAGTGATGTGCTCGATCTAACTTCATCCGACAAGTGTTACTACGTCCCCAAGGGTACTTACACGGAAGGCAGAGTTCCCCTCTGCCTCTGCGTGTGTATCGCCTCGCAACACTTGCGGTCTCAGCGTGCTGTAGTCCCGATGCGTGTGCCGTCCTGCTCGTCCTGCTTGTGGTGGGGTCCGCGGCTTTCCTGCTCCTGCTCTTGCGTACTTGTCGTCTCTGCCTCTCTGTGTCCCCCCTGTTGTGGCTCCTGCGCTCCTTTTATTTGCTCCAATTTCCGCCAGACACAGGTGCTTTTGATTGTCCCGCAGCAGGGATTGGGGTAAAAGCCATGTGATAAAAACATGTGACTATAGCGAGTCCTTAAAACTATAAATAAGGTTAAAATGCACAGCAAGATAAAAACACAAAACCACAGCACACGATAAAAACAAAAATAAATGCCAAGTCACTTGTTCTTATTCACATCCCCCCACATTCTAAGGTTGTCAGTCCCTGCAACATAAAAACAGTTCAGTCTCTGTACCGTGCCGGCGGTTGTCCAAGAGTAGAACGGTTTGACCTTCTAGGGGCCATGTCCATAACGTCCTGCTCAGCTGGTCTCAAAGGTAAAAAGCCATAAAACACGGGTAAAACAGGTCCTTGGTCCTGAGGCAGTTCCGCAGCTGCCTGTGGGAGTACAGCTGGAGGTAAGGTGCATAGTTTTAAAGAGTTTCTGTGCAAGGTTTGTTCACGGCCACCTCGCTCAGGGCGGACTCTGTACACCAGTCCTGTGCCTCCCATTTGCTCCACAACAATGTGAGGGTCTGGGGACCACCAAGGTGCCAGCTTACCTCTGCCTCGCCTATTTCTAAAGCGTACCAGTACCCTCTCACCAGGCAAGAAGGGCAAGGCTTTTGCTGACTTGTCGTACTGTTCCTTTTGCTGGGATGCTACATTACCCGTTTTCTCTCGTGCAATGCGATAGGCTACAGACATTTTGTGTTGGTGGTCCTGGACCCACTCATTTACACTGTGACGGGGTTGTTGGGGGCTAACAGCTAGGTCTACATCAACAGGGAGACGCAAGTGACGACCGAACATTAAAAAGGACGGAGCATAACCAGTAGCGGAATGTACGGTATTATTATAAGCGTGCACAAGCTCTGGCAAGTACTGCGGCCAGCGATTCTGCTTCTCTTCCTCTAAAGTGCGCAACATTTTGAGCAAGGTCTGATTAAAACGTTCAGCGCTGCCATTGCCGGCCGGGTGATAAGGTGTAGTCCGACTCTTAGTAATACCATAAGTGTCGCAAAGTTCTTTCATTAAGGACGACTCAAAATTGGCTCCCTGGTCCGAGTGGAAACGGGCCGGGCAGCCAAAATTTTGAATGATCTTGGACCAGATCGCGTCAACCGTGGTTTTAGCCGTTTGGTCGCGGGTAGGTATTGCCCACGCAAAATGTGTAAACTTATCCGTGGCAACCAGGATGTTTTGGTGAACATCATTGGGGCGACCTAGGGACAAATAGTCCAAGGCGATTACTTCGAGAGGGTAGGAAGTGGGAATAGGGTTAAGAGGGGCTTTAGGCTCAACCCTACTTTTTTGCAGGCTACAGGCAACACAACCCAGATGGAAACGACGCACCTCCCCCTCCATCTTAGGCCAATAGAAGTGCTGTCGGAGGCTAGCGAGGGTTTTGTCGACACCAGCATGGGCACCAGCGTCGTGGACCTTTCTCCAGACTTCTTCGCGCTTGGAGCTCGGACAAACAGTCTGATAGTGCACTTCATAGGTCTTTTGATCGATTACCTTGCGGCACAATAGGTTACTCTTCACCTGAAGCTTTTTCCATTGCTGCAACAGCCGCTGTGCGTCACTGGACAGGGCCTGGCGTTCTTGCTTTCCTGGCATTTTCTTCTTCTCCACGTAACTCTTCACACGCTGAATGTCGGCATCTGCTGCCTGGGCCTCTTCCCATTCACCTCCCTCTGGGACCAGCTCCACAGCTGTAGCAAACGTAGCAGGCTCCGGGTCTGGGTTACTTGAATGGGCTGTAGGGATTGGAAATCTGGAGAGGACGTCAGCGTTTACATTACTTTTACCTGACCGGTACTTGATGTTGTAATTGAAGGAGGCTAGTTGGGCGACCCAGCGTTGTTCACATGCGCCAAGCCGTGCGGTCTGTAGGTGAGCTAGAGGGTTATTGTCAGTAAACACAGTGAATTGCGCTCCTGTCAAATAGTCCTTGAACTTTTCTGTTATAGCCCACTTAAGTGCCAACAGTTCCAACTTGAACGAGCTGTAATTAGCATCGTTGCGCTCAGTGGGGTGCAGGCTCCTGCTTGCGTAAGCGATTACACGCTCCCGCCCTTCTTGCACCTGGGCAAGCACAGCTCCAAGTCCATCATGACTAGCATCAGTGTATACCACAAATGGCTGGTCAAAATTAGCGTAAGCCAAAATAGGGGCCTTAGTCAATTCAGTCTTTAAGGTGTCAAAGGAAGCTTGGCATTCAGAGGTCCACTGCACTTTGTGCGCTTGAGACCTTTTGTCCGCAGGAACGCCAGCCAACAGGGAATTCAGGGGGCGTGCGATTTTAGCAAACCCAGACACAAACCTCCTGTAATAGCCTGCTAGTCCCAAAAATGCTCTTACTTGTTTGATCGTGGTTGGTACAGGCCAGTCTAGGACAGAGTTAACTTTTTCAGGGTCAGGTCTTACACCACGACGATCAACTACATGTCCCAGAAACTTGACCTCAGACTGCAGCAGCTTACATTTATCGGAACGGAGCTTTAATCCATGTCGCCACAACCGGTTGAAGACCTCATCTAGGTGCTGTAGGTGAGAGGAAAAGTCAGGTGAATAGATGATTATGTCATCCAAATAGACGAGCAAAGACTCCGCAATTTGACCACTTAGACACTGTTGCATAAGTCTTTGGAACGTTGCGGGAGCGTTACAAAGGCCAAACGGCATGCGCTCAAATTCAAACAGCCCTAGTGGAGTAGTAAAAGCAGTCTTTTCTTGATCCTGTGGGTGCATCTCAACCTGCCAGTAGCCACTGGCGAGGTCAAGGGTGGTAAACCACTCTGCTCGGCTCAAACTGGTCAGAGTCTCTTCTATCCTTGGCAGTGGGAATGCGTCCTTGTGTGTTACTGCATTTAGCTTTCTGTAGTCAACACAAAACCGTAAACTCCCATCTTTCTTCCGCACCAAAACTATGGGTGCTGCCCAAGGGCTACAGCTCTCTTTGATGACTCCCTTCTCCAACATACCTGCTAACAGGGGCTTCACCTCTTTGTAGAGCGAGGGTGGAAGCGGTCTGTACCTTTCTCTGGTAGGCGCAGAATCACCCGTGTGGATGCGATGTTGTACTGCGTTGGTCCGGCCGAAGTCCTCATCGTGCTTTGCGAAGACCTTCTCCCATTTTTGCAAAAGCGCACCAAGCTCTTCCTGCTGCTGCTCAGACAAGTCAGTTCGGTTGGATAGGTTTCTCACCTCCTCGGGGAGGCCATGTTGTCCAGGGTCAGATGTGGTGTGGACCAGGGCCACTTCAACCACCCCATCTTCCTCCAGAGACAGGCTCACATCGTCAGGACCGTGCACATCAGCAGAATCAATTTGGTAAAGGCGTCCAAGTTTCTGATAGCGGCCTATTGTCCAGCTGTAAGGATGTGGGTTACAGACACGTATTGGGATTCTGCCGTTTCTTACCACTCCGATGGTTCGGGCCACACCCACTTCGCCAGCATTTGGCAGTGCCTCGACCAGGGCACAGTAGTCTGCGCCGTCAGGGCCCATCCGGCTTTTACCCCACACAAGCAGCTCGCTGTTAGGAGGGACAGTGAAGGCCCGCCCACCAGACAGCCGCACGTGCCCTAGGAACCCATCCTCAGCGACAGTAGCTTCAACGCGGCGACAGGTGGCGAAGGCATCTCGCCAGGGCTTCCCAAGTTTCTGTGGAGGAAGGGCAGACTTTCCGGGCCATTTAAAGAATGCATCCCAACAAGCCATCACAACATTCATTCCAACAATAAGGGGATGCGTACAATCCTCATCTCTTACAATCACTACTCCACGTCCAGGAATCTGTGTCCCTTCGACTGCCAAGTCAAGCACGGCATACCCAATATACGGGATCTCCAGACCATTAGCTGCTCTCAATTTAAACAGTACAGGTGTCCTTCCAAGCTTAGCCTGGGTAAAATGTTCATTGAACACACTCTCGGCCATTAAAGTTACTTGTGACCCTGTATCTAGCAGCCCTTCCAATTCAACTCCTTCAGCAGTGATTTTTATTGTTGGACATTGGCCTATGAATGTCTCTGTGGCCCTCGTCTGTGCTGTTGGACCAGCCACCCCTGCCGAACGGACCTCAGCGGCAGGGACAGCTAGTTTAAAGCTGGCCCTGAGGCAGATGTCGTCCGACAGTATCTGGCTATATGTCCAGCTTTATTGCACAGTCGACAAATGGGCCTACCTCGTTCATCCCGTTGGTTGCGTGGGGGGGATCGGTAGTAGCTCCGGGGTGTTACTGGCGGCTCTGCAGCGGTTGCAACCGATGGCAAGTGAGGTTTGAGCTCCCTTATTAGTTCCTGTGCCAATCCCTTCATCTCAGCCTTCACTTCCTCCATTATGTCACGCTTGAGGGTCTCCTTCCAGTCCGAATATGGTTCCTTTGAAAAACTAGACTTATTATTGACAATGGAGCATGTTACCTCTGATGCAGAGCTGCCATATTCAGAGTCCAACAACAGCGCCTCCTCTCGCAGCGCTGCAAAATCTGCATCTGGGTGCCGACGAGCATACACTTTTAGCGCCTGAGTCATTGGTCCTTCACGCAGTCCTAGAAGCAGCTGATCTCTCAGGGCTGCCTCGGAGGGGGGGTCGTCATGCCGCCGTAGCCTGCAATACAACTCACGGAGACGTAAAACAAAAGACTGGACCGTTTCACCCGGTTTTTGAGCACAACAAAAAAATTGTGACCTAACAACAGATGTCGGGGTTTGGTCACCATAGAGGGAGCCAAGATACGCAAACATTTTCCGAGCTGTGTCTTTTTCGTCATCCTCTAGTACACTGACTTGACGCTTGGCTTCACCGGCTAATGCTCCCAACACAATAACAACCCTTCTAGGCTCAGTTAGCTCTTGAGACCCCAACAACCCTTCCATTTGTTCTTTCCAATCACAGAGTTTTAAGTCATCCCCTGGCCCTTTAAACTTAGGGAGCCAGGGGGCACCAGGATATACTGGCATCATCATGGCTCCTTTCTCCCTGGCAAACAAGTGTGCTCGAGACCCAGATCCTGCCAGCAACGCCAAATTATGTAACGAGGGGGGGGATATAAAGGTGTTTGAAAGCGGAATGAAATTTGACCGCAAAAATAACTATTGCAAAAAAAGAGATTGAGTGACCGGGTGAGAGCACACTTGTCTACCAAGGAGAACAAAAAGGTCGTGGCAAGTTATTATAATTTAATACAAGGAATAATTAAAACAGTAAAAAAAAATGCCCACAAATAAAAACACTGTTAAAAGTCCATTAAAAACAAGGTGGGCTAAAAACAGGTTAAAACTACTAAAAGCCACGGTCAGGTGCAGGCAGGTCCCACTCCCTCCTGGTCCAGGGCAGCACTCCAACCTGGGTCACACGCACCGGGCCACCTAGGATGCAAAACATACGCCAGTACGGGGGTCCGGAACTATAAGGCCTTAGGCTACGATGGTGGAGTGTCGCTACAATACTTACACACAAGGCAGAGTTATCCTCTGCCCCTGCGTGTGTTCAGCGTCACAACACTCCTTCACTTAGTCTCGACTCCTCCCGTCTGGCTCTCGTCCTCCGCACGCTGAGACACCTACGCGGAAATCACTAGCGGCAGTCAAATGTTCTAAACAGTGATGTGCTCGATCTAACTTCATCCGACAAGTGTTACTACGTCCCCAAGGGTACTTACACGGAAGGCAGAGTTCCCCTCTGCCTCTGCGTGTGTATCGCCTCGCAACACTTGCGGTCTCTGCTCGTCCTGCTTGTGGTGGGGTGCCGCGGCTTTCCTGCTCCTGCTCTTGCGTGCTTGTCGTCTCTGCCTCTCTGTGTCTGCCCTGTTGTGGCTCCTGCGCTCCTTTTATTTGCTCCAATTTCCGCCAGACACAGGTGCTTTTGATTGTCCCGCAGCAGGGATTGGGGTAAAAGCCATGTGATAAAAACATGTGACTATAGCGAGTCCTTAAAACTATAAATAAGGTTAAAATGCACAGCAAGATAAAAACACAAAACCACAGCACACGATTAAAACAAAAAATAAATGCCAAGTCACTTGTTCTTATTCACACAGTGTTCCTGTGAAAATAAAAAAAACATTAAAAAAACATTGTTATCATACCATAATGTTTGCCAAAGAAGCCAATATGAAGCTTTGAGCCAAATTCCTTACTGTATATGGGCATTTGTTCCGATGGTGTTTTGCTCGATGTTAGACAAGCTGGAGTTTCTTTTGCAGATCAAGGCGTCTGATTGGTCAAACTTTATCAAGCTCATATCTGGATTTGCAGAGACAGTATCACAATATTTGGATCAGAGAGCCCTAAAACCAAAAATGGTGAGTGTGACACAAACAATTACTGAGCTAGAGGAGTTTACTTTACAATTTCAGTCAATAGAACGAGCAACAGATTGAGTCGAAGCAAAACTTTGTCCACGAGCACTTCCCGATTGGGCTTCATTTGTTATGTTTTTAGTCATTACATACTTGCGTCTTTTTATGCTAAAGTTAGAGATTTTATTTTTGTATAGACTCTAGTTATTGTTCATTTATCTTGCATCCATGTGTGCTCCTCATTCCAACTGTTCTGTAACCGGTGATGCAACACTGAAATTTCCCCACTGTGGGCAAAATAAATATTAAGCTCATAGAGACACATGTTCAGCACCAAATTGTAGCTAAATGGCCTGTTTCCATCTGTAGTCCCCGGTTACGGAGAACAAATTTCAATATTCAATATGAAAGTGCATCCATCCGTCCTCTATCAACCACAGCACTTTACCATTCACTACATTTCATTCATTCTGCATCAGCTACATTGCTGCCTTGTTCTCCTGCCTAAGATATTTAAAGGTTGTTTGTGTATCGATTCTAAAAGCCTCAGTGTGGTTTTATCAGCCTGGGAGCAGCAGGTGATGCAATAATAAAAATGCGACATGATCACAAATGTCCCCATTGAAGCCTTAATAATAATAATTATAATGCATCAGTTTTATACAGTGCTTTTTTGGACACTCAAAGATGCCTCACATGTCATTATTCTTTCTGGTGATAAACTACCACTGTAGCTACAGCTGCCCTGGGACACACTAACAGGAGAAAGGCTGGTTGTCTGTGCCTTCAGCCCCTCCCACCACAACACACCAGACTCATTCTAATGTGGGTGAAGTGTCTTGCCTAAGGACACCTAAGACAATTTAGCACTTTACAGCCGCAGCCGTACAGCTCCCATTACAGCACTAACCAGGCCTTGCCCTGCTTAGCGCCAGAGGTCTGACAGGATCTGGCTTTGATCTGCAAGTCGACTTTCCCCTGCTTCTAATAAAATGCATGATTAAAGCTGAGTAGATGCATCTGTTTTCAATATATCTCTTGATGCTGCATTATAAATATTAATTTCCGCAGCCTTGAGGTCTTATAATTGCATGTGAGGAGAAAAATCATGCTCATCAAAATCTATCCGTTTATTCTGGACTAATTTTCCCTTAACACATTTCTGTTGTAGAAATGAGCTTTTTCCATCAGCATTCTAAAAGTGGTGTGTATGCTCCCCCCAGTGGACCACTATGGTTACTGCAATTACCTTTTGTTTAGGGATTACATTTCAAGACTATCGTTTCTTACCAATAATGTTTCTTTCTTGTATTTGTTTGTAGAAATAAATGTTTTGTAAGGATCGGCCAATCTGTGTGGCAGAGATTCTTGACATTTTATATTCAGATGGTTTTGTAGTTTGCACAACTCTAATCATCAACAGACCGAGAATAGCAATATTTAGAGCTGCACAAGCATCCAAATGGATTCTGGAGGCTGCAAGCTACAAGCCACAAGAAACTCCTGCCCACAACAAGCTGGTTATTAAATCGTTCATCTCGTTTCCCAACTGTTCTTTCAATGTCTTTATGAGTCTGATCATTTCTGATCCAACACAAAGAAACTTAAACCTGATTGAGCTAAAAGTGTAAAGCATCGCGCTTTTAAAAACCGCAAATGATAAACAAGGTAATTTGTTATTCTTCCTTAACTAGTTAAAATAAGCTTCAAGGTGTCATGCTTTGAAATTTCACCCAGAAATGGAAAAAAAAGGATGAAGATGAATGAATGAATGAATTGTCGAAAATGCGTCTCGTGTGTACAGGCTCCGCTCCCATCTCTGTGTGGAGTGAGAAGACATTGTAAAGCACTTTGTGGCTGTGGTTGTGAAAGGTGCAAAATAAAATGACAACACAAATAGATAACTAGTGACTAGTTACAATATTATTTCTTTGACATTTTGTGTGACAGTTGTGCAAAAACACTGCTTTAGAAAACTCTTTTAATCCCAGATTACCACAGAATTATGTGAAAGAATTTGAATAGCTGGCTGTGATTCTGGTGTTTATCCACCAGAGAGCAGTGTCTGATCACGCTGAACACACTGGGCCTGGAGAATCCTCTTGAACAGTGTGGCAGTTCCTCAGCACTGGTCAGACATGGTCAAGATTGCACTTCATTATGACACACGCACGCACGCACGCACGCACGCACACACACACACACACACACACACACACACACACACACACACACACACACAAGCCTTTGTGTGATTTTAACATATATAATATTTTTTGTTCAGATATTTGACTTGCCTTGTGTATCAACTGTTCTATAGAAATACACATTCTTTGCCTACTACTTCTGCTACTAATACTAGTAATAATACTATTTACTCTGCTGCTACTACTACTACTTTATCCTCTACTATTACTGCTACATTTGCATCTACTACTACTACTACTACTTTTTCCAACGACTGCTGCCACTTCTTCATTATCTTCTAGTACTTTAAAGCGTTTTTCTGCTACAACTACTACTACTAAACTACAACTAACACTAGTGCTACTGCTACTACACTACTACTGGTAAAACTATTACTACTAATAGTACCACTACTAGAACAGGTTGCTAAGTAGTGACTAGTTAAAATGAGAAAGCCCTGTTTTTTGCATGCTATCCGTGACACGTTGGTCCTCAGACTCTCCTCTGACATTCGGTCCCCAGTTTACATGTGTGTCTTTGCACCTGTGCCTCCAGTTCCATGTTCCTGCTGATCCAGTGAAGTATTGATGCAGTGTCAGTCTCCTTTACCGTGTAGCCGTCTGTATTTCTCCAGTGAGTCCTCTCTTTACGTGTCTGTTTGGATCTGTTTTCTCTGCCTCCATATGGGCCGAGAGTCGGGAAAATAAATGATGACGAATCAAAAGAGAGTAGATAGAGTTCCAGATGCTCCCATTTCACGGCCACTAAAAACACTACTACTACTACTACTACTAATGCTGCAACTACTACTACTGCTACTACTACCTCTACTACTACCACTACCACTACTACTACTACTACTACTACTACTAATGCTGCAACTACTACTAATGCTACTACTACTACTACTACTACCCCTACCACTACTACTACTACTAATGCTACTACTACTACTACTGCTACTACTACCTCTACTACTACCACTACCACTACTACTACTACTACTACTAATGCTGCAACTACTACTAATGCTACTACTACTAC